GGGACTAACTCCTAAAATACTGTTTTGTGTAAATAAAAACTGTCCGAACTGGTGGTCACCAGATGGGAGGGGGTTTGGAGAGATAGGTGAAAAACATGAAAGGGCCCAGCCAGTGTGACTCAGCGGTTGAGGTCATCAGCACAATTCCATGCAAGAGGTGGTCAATCGATGTTCTCACTCATCAATGTTTTTATCTCTCTCAAATCAATAAAGAAAAAATATTTTTAAAAAAGAGAGAAAAAGAAAAATGTAAAAGGGATTAAAAAGTACAAATTGCCAGGTATAAAAATAGCCATAAGAAGAAAAATAGTCAGGAGGATTTAAAGTACAGCATAGGGAATACAGTCAATAATATTGTAATAACTATGCGTGTTGTCAGATGGGACTAGATTTATCAGGGTGATCACTTTGTAAGGTATATAAATGTCTAATCACTATGTGGTACAGCTGAAATTAATATAATATTGTATGTCAACTCTTATTTATTTTAAACAACCAGCACCTCTTTTTTTAAAATATGTTTTTATTGATTTTTTAGAGAGAAAGGAAGGGAAAGACAGAAACAATGATGTGAAAGAGATACATCCATCCGTTGCCTCCTGCACGCCCCCTACTGGGGGTTGAGCCTGCAACCTGACTCAGAATCTCACTGGGACCTCTCAGTCCATTGGACAATGCCCAATCCACCGAGCCACACAAGCAGACTGTTAACTCTAATTTAAAAATAAATTAAACAAAAAAGAGAGACCAGAAAAAACTGTCCTAAAGCAGGTTACAGCTTTGTGATTTACAGAGATGACAGTGAAACTAACACAGGAGTCACTCCTGAGATAAAGCTTTTAAAAACACATTTATCAACTTCTGGTCAAGATGGCTAAGTAGGTAAACGCGATATCGCATCCTCCTACAAGCACATCAAAATTACAACTAAACTACAGAACAACCATCATTCAAAACCACCTGAAATCAAACTGAATGGAAGTCCTACAACTACGAATTTAAAGAAGAGGCCACATCAAGACTGCAATCCAAACTCAATTACAACAGAAGGGTGTAGAGTCCACACAGGGGAGCACCTCGAGGGCCCAGCTGGGTGATCAGGGAGGCTGTGCCACAGGACCCTATAGGACACCTACTACAACAGGCCACCCTAGGAAGCAACTCTACCTAATACATAGCAACTCTACCTAATACATAAAAACAAACACAGGGAGGCAGCCAAAATGAGGAGACAAAAAAACATGTCCCAAATGAAAGAACAGAACAAAACTCCAGGAAAAGAACTAAGTGAAGTGGAAGATAAGCAAGCCAACAGATGCAGAGTTCAAAACACTGCTTATGAGGATGCTCAATGAACTTAGTGAGAACTTCAATGAATTTAGTGAGGGCCTCAAGAGTGTGAAAAAGGACCAGTCAGAAATGAAGGAGGCACTAACTGAAATAAAGAATAATTTACGCCCTGGTCAGTTCTTCTCAGTGGTTAGACACTGGCCTGCAGACCAGAGAGTCCTGGGTTTGGTTCCCGTTAAGGGCACGCACCTCAGTTGCAGTTTGTTTCCACCCCGGTTAGGGTCGTGTGTGTGGCAACCAGTCGATGTGTCTCTCTTGCATTGATGTTTCTCTCTCTCTCTTCCCCCCTTTCTCCCACCCACTCTATCTGAAGATAAATGAAAAAAAAAAAAAAAGTCCTCAGGTGAGGATAAAAAAAACAAAAGGAAGAATTTACTGAGATTCAATAGTAGAGTAGGTAAAGCCAAGAAGCAAACCATCAATTTGGAATATAAGGAAGCAAAAAACACCCAATTAGAAAAGCAAAAAGCAAAAAGAATCCAAAAAGTGAGGATAGTATAAGGAGCCTCTGGGACAACTTCAAGCGTACCAACTTTCGCATCATGGGGTGCCAGAAGGAGAAGAGAGAGAACAAGAAATTGAAAACCTATTTGAAACAATAATGACAGCACTGGCCGGTTTGGCTCAGTGGTTAGAGCGTTGGCCTGTGGTCCAGAGAGACCCGAGTTCGGTTCCTGCTAACGGCACGTACCTCGGTTGCAGTTTGTCTCCAGCCCTGGTTGGGTCATACAGGGAGGCAGCCACTCGATGTGTCCCTTTCATGTCAATGTTTCTCTCTCTTTCTCTCTTCCTCTCTCTCCTGCCCACTCTATCTGAACAAAAAATGGAAAAGTGTCCTCAGGTGAGGATAAAAAAAAAAAAAGAATAATGACAGAAAATTTCCCTAACTTGGTGAAGGAAACAGACATACAAGTCCAGGAAGCACAGAGTCCCAAACAAGATGAACCCCAAGAGGCTCACACCAAGACACATCATCATCATCAAAATGCAAAAGGTTCAAGACAAAGAGAGAATCTTAAAAGCAGCAAGAGAAAAGCAGTTAGTTACCTACAAGGGAGCTCCCATAAGGCTGTCAGCTGATTTCTCAAAAGAAACTTTGCAGGCCAGAAGGGAGTGGCAAGAAATATCCAGAGTGATGAAAAAGCAAGAACCTACAACCAAGATTACTCTATCCTGCAAAGCTATCATTTTGTATCGATGGACATATAAAGAGTTTCCCAGACAAAAAAAAGCTAAAGGAGTTCATCACCACCAAACCATTATGATATAAAATGTTGAAGGGTCTTCTTGAAGAAAAAGATAAAAAATATGAACAAACAAAATGGCAATAACTACATATCTATCAACAATTGAATCTACAAACAAAATGAACAAGCAGCACAGAAACATTTTCATAGATATAGAGAACATTTTTTTTCCCCTTTATTGATTTGAGAGAGAGAGGAAGTGAGAGGGAGAGAGAGATGGAAACATCAATGAGAGAGAACATTGACTGGCTGCCTCCTGCATGCCCCCGACTAGGGATCAGGTCCACAACCTGGGCATGTGTCCTGATCGGGAATTGAACCAGTGACCTCTTGGTGCATGGGTTGACGCTTAACCACTGAGGCGCACCGGCCGGACAATATAGAGAACATTTTGTTGGTTGTCAGATGGGAGGGGGGTTGGAGGAATGGGTGAAAAAGGTAAAGGGATTAAAAAGTACAAATTGGTTGTTAGACTGACAAACCTCAAAGGGAAAGGGGGTGGGGGGTGGGAAGAAATAAACCAAAGAACTTATATGCATATATGCATAACCAATGGGCACAGACAACAGTGTGGGGAAAGACAGGAGGGGGGTGGGAGTGAGGAGGAGTGGGGTCAATAGAGGGAAAAGGAGGAACATCTGTAATACATTCAACAATAAAGATAAGTTTAAAAATAAATAAACAGCCTGGCTGGTGTGGCTCAGTCGTTGAGTGTTGACCCATGTACCAAGAGGTCACCAGTTTGATTCCTGGTCAGGGCACATGCCCAGGTTGTAGGCCTGATCTCCAGTGGGAGGCATGCAGGAGGTCGCCAATGTTCTCTCTCATCAAAGTTTCTCTCTCTCTCCCTCTCCCTTCCTCGCTAAAAATCAATTTAAAAATACATAAATAAAAAATAATAAAGAAATAAAAACACATTTATCGCATTAGCCAAGGTGGTTCAGTGGTTAGAGTGTGGGTTCTCCCATGCAAGGGTCTCTAGTTTGATTCCTGGTCAAGAACAGTAACTGGGTTGTAGGTTTGATCTCCTGTGGCAGGCAACTAATCCAGAATCTCCCCACCCCTCCCCACTCTCTCTAAAAATCAATGGAAAAATATCCTGGGTGAGGATTAACAAAAAAAAGCAAAACAAAAAAAACACATTTATCCCTGGGAGATTGTTGCCATTGTCCCCATTTTAAAGTAAGTTAATCTGAAATCAAACAGGTTTGACAACTTGTCTTAGACCACAAAGCAAATGTGTGTCAGAGGTTTGGGAAATAACAATTTTTCTGATTTCCAGGGTTAAAGTGAAACCCATAATTTAATGCAGTAAGTTAAGGAAAACACGGAAGAGCAATTTTTTTAAATGAAGTTAGGTTTGTTGTCCAGAACACTGAAGCTTGTGAGAGCAATGACCAATAATTAATTTCTTGCCAGCATGACTTAATGTGGATTCAACTCATAACTAGTTTGTTTATTTGTTTTTTCGGCATGATCTAATGACACTAAGTCTCTAACTTTTTCTTTCAAATGTTTTCATTGTTTTGTTAAGTTTTGGCTGTTCCAAAGTAGGATAATTTTGTTGTTAAATTGATAAAACCTATGTTGAAGCAACCGAGGTAGATAGAATTGCTTTTTGACAACCTTGCTTAAATCTGATGTAGAAAATGTTCCTTGTCTTCTTTCCTGCACCCGATGTGCTCCACAAGGTAGTTATTGTTTACCCTGACCAAATCTGATCCACTCGGTTTAGCCAAATTAAAAACTATATATGTGTCCCCAGGGTCCATATTTTAAGAAATGCATACTCAAGTATGCAGCTGTGAAATAACCTGACTGGGATTTGATTTAAACATACTTCAGCAAAAGGGGGGAGGGGAGGTATAGACGAAACATTTTTGACAGATATTTAAACCGTTGAATGTGACTATAGGTTCACTTCATCTTTTCTCTCTACTTTTGTCTATGCTTAAAGTTTTTCCCGGTAACTTCTCACAAAATGAATTACTTCCGAACTCAGTTACCGTCCTGGTTATTAAACAGGGGTCAGTGGATGTGAGTGCTCTTGTCCTCGGAACGAAATCGGGCGAAGGGTCTCCAGCAGAGGCGAGGGTCCTGCGGCCACGCGGCGCGGGCTCCGCGCCGCCACGCGGGCCGAAAGCGCGCACGTTTCCTTGGAAGCTGAATCTGACAACTCCGTGCGCTCCAGGGCTCGGGGCACCGCGGAGCTCAATTTGCAAGAGGCGCCCGCGGGCCTCCCGCCGGCGTCTCCCGGAGCCCCGACAGGCTCCGCTCCGGAGCTCCGAGGTCCCGACCCAGGTAGTTGGTGTGGACCCCGCAGCCTTCTCTGGCCCTCCAGAGACCGCCTGCCCGGTTCCTTCTGTCCCCCCACTGCGAACCTCGGCCCAGCCCGCCGCCTACCGTCCAGGTCCTCTTCGTCCTCGGTCTCGCTGTCCGCGTCGGCGACAAGGCCAGGGCCGGGCTCTCGATCCTGGGAGCCGGAAGGAGGGGCGGCGGGCGGGCTGGCGGCTTGGGCGCGGGCCTCGCGCAGGCGGGTGAAGTAGTCTACCGCGAACTCGACGAGATCAGGCGGCCGCCGCCGCAGCACCTCCACCGTGTAGCCCTGCAGCAGCTCCGTGAGCCCCGGCGGGATCTGGATGTTGCTCATGCCGGCGGCGACCGCGAAGACAGGCGGGTCCTGGCCGCCAGCGGCCACTGCCTCCGCGCTCCCTCACGCCGGCCTCACGCCCCGCGCCCGCGAGGTCTCCTCACGCGCGACCGCGGTCGGGCCTCCTTCGCGCCGTACTGTCCTTTGGCCGGCTCTGCGTTTCCGGGCCACACAACCCTACGCTGCTAGGACGGCCGGCCTGGTGCCGCCGCTGTCACTGGGCAGCGCCGCCGCCGCCGCCGCCGCCGCCGCCGCCGCGGGGACCGACCAGCGGGCAGGCGGGACGGGCGGGGCAGGAGCCCGGGTTGTGACGCACACGGCCACGGGCGTGCGCGCCCCCGCTGAGCGCCGGCCCTCTGTGCGCGTGCGCCGTTGCACCGCCCAACCTGGCCAGTCCCGGCTTGAGGCGCCAGAATGAGTGAGTGATCTACCGGCTATATAGAGTTCGTTAGTGCCTTCCACCTGGTTTTAAAGACCTTTCGCTTATTCTTTCAACACACGCTAAGAGCCTCTTGTTTGCTAGCACTTTCTAGGCGCCCGGGACACAGCCCAGGAGACACATTACCACCTCAGTGGTTCTGGCTTAGTGGAGAGCTAGAGGGCCCACTTTAGGGGTTGACATTCAAGTTGACTGCGAGGCATGGACAGGGTTGACTTATGATCTGGAGGAAAGCCATCTGAGTATAGCAGACAGAGGAAGCAAAGGCCTGGTAAAGTCCGGACCACCCTGGCTGCCGGGTGGAATGGTGGAATTACCATAGGGCCCTCAGAAGTCTGGCAGGTCTGTGAGATGTCAAATGGGGAAGACCTTGTACATAGTAGGAATTTCAATGATATAGTAGTTTGGGAGTCATAGGCAGACAAAGAAGTCTGGAAGCCCAAACACGTACCTTGAGAAAAGGGAATAAGGCCATTGCAGGAACCACCTCTGTGACTGTTCTTCCTCTTGAGCACTCCCACCAGGATTCCTAAGACTAGTTCTGCATGTCCCTTCTCTCCCCACACTCCACCCTGGGTCCTAGGCCAGCACTGCTTGATGGTGCTGAGAAGACCACAAGGCAGTGTTATCCTTTGCCCCTGGGGAGGGAACATAGGCAAACTGGAGGGGTCAGTCAATTTCCAAAGTTGCCCCCTTTCACCCACACCAGATTGGAAGTGAATAAGAAAAGGTGAAGACCTTCCTGGGATGTCCATGCCACAAAGGGCACTGACCAAAGTCCCAGTGGACATAGGACAGAATCCTCCCTGTCTCTGCTGGGTCCCACCAGAAAGTGGTAGCTGTAGGCTTGGGAACAGGAATGGAATTTGATTTGGGATGCTTAAGCTTCGCCTGGTAATTATCCAGTATTTATTTTAATTTTTTTCTTTATTGATTTGAGAGGGAGAGGGAGAGATAGAAACATCATGAGAGAGAACATTGATTGGCCACCTTCTGCATGCCCCCCACAGGAGATTTGGCCCACAACCCAGGCATGTGCCCTGACTGGGAATCGAACCAGCAACTTCTTGAGCAACACCACTGAACACCACCAGCCAGGCTACCCAGTATTAATTAAAATCCTCACTAGGACCTCTAATATTTGCTTGGCACATATCCAGAAGCTCAGTGCTGCTGGTGCAGAAGCTCTAAGCTAGGCAGGCCTGTGATTCCAAACAGCAGTGTCTCCCTAGTCAAGTTCCTTGACTTCTAGAAGGAGTCTTGGATCATCAACTTTGGGTGAGTTGGGGGGGGAGTAGTGTCTAACTTATTGCTTGCTGGGTCCTTACTGAACACTCTTGGAGAAGGTTTACTGAATGAATGAATGAATGAATGAATGATAAATTTCCAGACAGCAAGCAGAACCAATTAAACTGCTCTCCTGACCTCACAGTCTCAGAATTAGGATCCTTGGTTTCAAAGTTATGCTTCTTATCTCAGAATACGAAGACTTCACTAAGGACAGGCAGTGAGCCCTGGCCAGTTTGGCTCAGCAGTTAGAGCATCGGCCTGCAGACCAGAGTCCTGGGTTCGGTTTCCCCTAAGGGCACATACCTCAGTTGCAGTTTGTCCCTGGCCCTGGATGGGGTTGTGTGGATGGCAACCAGTCGATGTGTGTCTCTCACATCGATGTTTCTCTCCCCCTTTTCTCTCTCTCCTGCTCTATCTGAAGATAAATGCAAAAATGTCCTCAGGTGAGGATATAAAAAAAAAAAAAAAAGAAGAGGCAGTGAAAGGCTAGAGGGGCAGGGATCAACTCCTCTGCTATTGGGTAGACCAATCTTTCCAAGTTTCCAGGAGTCAGCCCACACCCAGGAAACCTGGGTGTGACTCCCACTGCACTACCACACCTGAGGATCTGCCCCCACTTCAAACAATCCTACAACCAAGGTGTGGCTCAGCTGGTTGAGCATTGTTCCATGCACCAAAAGGTCACCATTTGATTCCAAGTCAGAGCACATACCGGGGTTGCAGGTTTGATCACCAGTTGTGTGTACAGGAGGCAACCGATCGATGTTTCTCTTTCACATCAATGTTGCTCTCTCTCAAAAAAAAAAAAAAAAAAAGTGTATATATATATATATATATATATATGGAAAAAACTATGGGTAGAGACCATATGACCTTGCAGCAGAAATGGTGCTACTGTTGCTTCTAATTGGCTACTATTGCAATAACCTGTTCTCTGTCCTTCACCTTTGACCCAGATATACTCTGCTTTGCCTAGGTGAGGCTGTTATCACCTACTGGTTGTTTTAACAAACACACTCTGGCTTCTATTTAAGGCTGTGACAGTCAGAGAAATTGCTGGTGGCCGGGGTTGTGGGGGGGCAGGAACAGGGAGGATGGTGTCAATAGGGGGGCAAGGAGGGACATTTGTAATTAAATAATTAATTAATAATTAGAAAAGAAAAGAAAGAAATTGCTGCAGAGGGCCCTATTCTCTCCCCTACTCTTACCTCCATCAGGGAGAGAGGAGATATATCAGAACAGGTGGCATTTCAAAGTGCATCAAAAAAAGGAAGTGCCATCCAGGAGGGAGTTACTCACCATCTGCTCTGCTCCCTTCACAAATATGCCTCCAGGGGCTTCCCTATTTAACTTAGCATCTACTGAAGACCCAAAGGAGTACAAGAATCTACCACTACTAACATCAAGGAACCAAAGCATTCCATTTTAAAGTAGAAGCTGTTTCAAAGGGCAAGCTATCCAGAAGCACAGAAAAAAGTGATCCCGAGCCATGGGAATGGCTGGCATTTCACAGGAATGCAAATGTACTCCCAGGGGCTTCCCAGCAAAGGCTGGTTTCAGGACTCTCTCAAAAACTGGGTGGTGCTCAGAAGAGCTTCAGGAGACACATATGTAGCCATCTCCAAATCAAAGAGATTAAAGAGAGACATTGCCCAGCCTGTGTGGCTCAGTGAAATGAGGGTCATCCCATGGACTGAGAAGTCCCAGTTCGATTTCCGGTCAGGGCATATGCCTGGGTTTCAGGCTTCATCCCCTGTAGAGGGTGTGCAGGAGGCAGCTGATGGTGTTTCCATCTCTCTCTCTCTCTCAAAAAAAAAAAAAAAAAAATCAAAAACAGTAAATAAATAAATTAAATTAAATAAATGGAGACATCATGCAGCATGAGTGGAGTAGGCTTAACACTAAATTAATCTTCCCAGACAGAAGGCACACAATTTTCATCTCTAAAAAGTGTTAGTTTTTGACTTGACCATAATTCCTATCTGGTCATCCATAAAAAAACTTCTCAGGAATAAAGGCTCCTTCCTTAAACCCCCAAATCTTCAGCTTCCTGCCAGGTAGGCCACACCCACTCCCAGATGGCTGTGGATCCCTGCCCCACTCACCCATTCACATAGAACGGTGGCTCTAAAACCAAAGTCCAAGGGTCTCTGTGAAGCTGCAAGGAAAAAGGAAGTGCCAGTGCAACAGAACTGTGACTGCCAGATGGGACATTGCCAGGGAAGCCCAGCTCCCACAGCCTCATCCTCTGCCAGGTAAAGACAGACTAGCTTGTGACTCTCTACTCCAGCTCCCTCACCTTCTCTGGCAGCTCCTGGGCATCATCTTCAGCCTGATGAGTAAAGCCAGCCTGGTGACATCAGATCACACAGCAACCAAAAAGCCCATATAAAAACTCAGGATTGCTTTTAGCCTTTCAGAACAATTGATTCTCTGTCTGTTAGCTCGGACACCCATGTGGCTAAGTGCAGAGAGGCTAAGGAATGACTGGATGAGCTGCAGGCTGGGCTTGTGGGGCCTGCATGCTAGGCTTGCATTGAAGGTTATGAGAATAATTACCAATCCAGTGGCCCCACGCCACCCCATTCAGCCTCAAGCAGCTGGGGCTGGAGCAGACAGGAAAGGCTGGTCTGGCCAAAACTTTCCCCTCTTTCTCCTGCTGCAGCCTGATGCAACCAGGGAAGGATAATGGATCCCTGCCTAACAGCCTCCACCAAGCCACAGGCTGCCTGCTGAAATGATCCAGAATCAAAAGAAAAAAGTCTCACACAATGCTAAAATTAAAAATAATATTTATTGTTTCCTGTTAAAACAGGGCTCTCATGACAAAAGAGTGTGCAAAGAGAGCCTTCTTACACCCTGGACTTTCTCACTTATCCCAGCAGGCTAGGACTGTCAATTTAAAACTCTTCTCACTGTATAGAAGGGAAAGCTCTCCACCTTCTGGGAAATTAGACTACTCTAGTTTCAATTTCAATTACTTGCATGCCTAAAAAAAACAACCCTGCTGTTATCAGGCTATCTGCCCCTACACATTTGCTCATTCCACTTGACAGACAGACATGGGTCTCAAGTTCACGTCTCTCTGGGTATGTCAGGATAGTATAATACTCTGGAAATCTGGTGGGTGTTCCTGGCTGGAGGTCAAAGATGACCCCAGCTCCAGGTCAGCTAGCTGTAAACATGCATAGCACCTCCAGTGAAAGGCTGAGATTTCCTCTCTAAAGACCAGTATTTTGGGTATAGTAGGGCCAGTAGTCAACCAATCAATAGATAGTACTCTGGTCCTCCTGAGATCCCTTAAACTGACAAGAGTAAATTCAAGTTTCAAAATGGCACACCAAGTTATACCAGGTGGAGGATGTCATTAAGGCAAATGGTCTCAACAAGTCCATGCACAGAGCTTTGATCCCACCATCCCCCTCCCTTCACCCTTCAGGACAGCCTAGTCCTGCCCATTGCTCCTCTTCGGTAAGTTTCCAACATCCAGAAGCCTTGAGCAGCCTTCAGCCTCACAAGTTGGGTGTGACCCAATTAAGGAACTTCATGGCAACTTCAAAGCCAAGGAAACAGGCCTGAGAAGGGTTTGAAAGAAGAGAAAAGCCAACAGGAGTTGTGACTATTCAGAGAGACCCCAGCACCACACTTGGTTAGCCCTATCAGGATCAAACCCCTCCCCTAACCTCACTCCCACCCCAGGTCAGGGAATAAGCTGTGCTTTCTCATTCCCAAGAGGGGAAGAAAATGCATGTCCCACAACTGTCCACTTCTAATGGCCAGATCAAGTCATTAAAGCCCCTCACCTCAGGGGATCACAAAGGCAAATCTCCCTGGTACCTTCAGAAAAGGGAGCAAATTATAAGACTGTGATTGAGGATGGGGTTTTGGGAAAACTGAGCCCCCAATCTAATCTGAGGAGCAAGCAAAAGTCAGCCCACCTGAACCCTGTTCTGAACCCCAAAGGGAAAGCACAGCTCCTGCCAACTACTCACCGCGTTGGCTGGGAAGGCTCGGATCATCACTGCATTGAACCCTTTGTATAAGGATGTGACTCCTTCATTCTGGATCAGCTCCCTCAGCACATCTCTGAAACCATTAGGATATTTTCCAGGAGGTGCTGTGGGCAGAACCCAACTGTTAAGTATTCAGGAAGCTTCCTGACCTGACCATGGTGACCCATATGAGGACAATCTTTTAGTCAAGTCTTCCTGCAGGGTCACAGCACCAGGGAAAGAACACCTTGCAGGTTATCAGACCACAGACAACACAGTTCATCTTGGGACAAATAGACACAAATGTCTAGATTACTGGTACTGAGGGAGTGGAGAAGAGGAGGGAACAATGAAATGGTCCTTCTGCTCATATTGGGGAAAGAGAGTTGATTAGACTTATGTCACTTTGTGTTCAGGCCAACAAGAATATGAGTCTAGGGTTCTAGAACAGAAATGACTACAAAGGAGAATGCTGGTCAGGCAGGTGCTGGGTGTGCTGTGGACAATGAGTGTTCCTCAGGCCTTAGGAACTCTGCACCCCAGCCCTGGCCAGTTTGGCTCAGTGGTTAGAGTGTCGGCCTGTGGTCCAGAGAGACTCGGGTTCGGTTCCCACTAAGGGCACGCACCTCGTTTGCAGTTTGTCCCCTGCCCTGGTTGGGTCCTGCGGAAGGCAGCCACTTGATGTGTGCCTTTCACATTGATATTTCTCTCTCTCTCTCCTTCCCACTGTAACTGAACAAAATATGGAAAAATATCCTTGGGTGAGGATTAAAAAAAAAAAGAACTCTGCACCCCAGGGGCAGCCAGTTCCAGGACGCACACCACCTCCATCCACCCCACTATCCTCCACTAACCAGTCTGGAAGCGGGACTTCAGCACATCTGGGGGGATTGCCACAGCCCAGTTGAAGATTCCTGCAATGCCCCCAGCCACCAGGATCCGAGGCACACTGAGATCGCTGACACTGCAGAGACCAACCAAAGTCAGACAAAGACTATGAGAATGGCAGACAGTGAGAGGGAGAAATTAGCTAGAGTATGAAGGTCCAAGGCCAGAGCTCTTGTGACATGGCAGCTGCCACTCCATGGAGGATATTTCATGCACTTGTTTCAAATACTTGCTCCATTGTGTAAGACACAGAGTAAGAGGGGTTAGCTGGGCTTCAGCAGCAATGAGAGAAAAGGGGACATGAAGCCAGAAGTAAGTTTCACTTCTGCCTCCAGATCCACTCACAGGAAAGGGCAACCTACCCATGACTGAGCAAAGTGGCTTCTAAGTTCTTTTGTTCTCCTCACCTCTTTCCCTCTGGAGTGAGGATATTTTTCAGCCATTCATATGTCATGAAATACATCCCACTGGCTGGAACATCTGTTAGTGGCAAGAGAGGTATAAATTAAATGTTATAAAATAATCACAGATTTCTTGAATTTAGCAGAGCCAAGCTTGGAACATCCTTCAAGGTTTCCTGAGAAGTTCCTCAGCAGCACATCCTATTTGCAAAAATCACTAAGCAGTGACAGATGCTATTCTGGGGCAAGCACTATCATGAGTGAGTGTAAATACCCATGACATCATTTCACATTCAAAGTCCCCTCTGCGTGGTCCCCCCTGACATGCCCATTCCAAGCAGTTATGACCACAGTTAGTATCTAGCCTTCCTCCAAGCTACCATCTCAGGACAAGGATGGGGCCATCTCTGCCTCTCCTACTGCCACCCAGCTGAACATGTTTCTTGAAACCAGGGAGAGCCCCCCTATTCCTAAGTCACTCTTTCTCCCACTCGTCCATCTAGCCACAATTTCTACCTACTTGCTATTCCCCTCCAACTGTCACTGTCATGAATTCTACTCTTGAGGGTCAGCCTACCAGAAGGATGAAAGATCCCCCCATCGTCATTTGTGTCCATGCTGGCCAGAGGTGAGACTGACTAAAACCAGCCTTGTCAAAGCTGTGACATGTATAGTGCCAAGGCTAATATGGCAAACTGAGGCAAGACCCTCTGTGGCAAATTCACTCAGGTGGAGGGCCTCAGAGTTTACCTCGCATGAGGGTGAGCACAGTCCCCTTGTAGATGCCTCGGATCCCAGACTCCTGGTACAGCTTCTTTGCACAGTCCAAGGCGCCAGTGTACTTGGTTTCCCCTGAAGAAGCCTGAATCTGAGAGGGAAGGAAGAGTCAGCAAGTCAGCAAGAGCATCACAGTCAACAGACTCAGCAGGTTACAGAAGATTACAAAGTGAGTGAGGAAGTGGTTATTATACATTAGACCAACAAAAGACGACTGTCAAAACAATAGTTATTTGACCTGGCCAGTGTGGTTCACTGGTTAAGCATTGACCCGTGCACCAAGAGGTCACCGGTTTGATTCCCAGTTGGGGCATATTCCCAGGTTGTGGGCCCAGTGGGGGGCATGCAGGAGGCAGCTGATTGATGTTCTCTCTCATCAATGTTTCTATCTCTCCCTCTCCCTTCTTCTCTCTCTAAAATCAATAAAGAAAACAAATTAAAAATAGTCATTTGGAATGTACAGTATTGGTGCAAGTTACTATGAAATAATGCTAGGTGAAAATATCACAAAATATGCACATACTGACTAGAAAAGTTGGAAAATAAATTGAAGAACTCTCTCAAGTACAAAGGCATTCCCAATAAAGTTACTTGGAAGGTATAGAAAGGAGGAAAAAAATATATCAGTCATTCACTTACTCTATTTCAACAAATATCCTTTGAGCACCAACTCCATTCCAAGTCCTAACTGATCATAAAGCTTGGTTAAGAAAAGGTGAAGTGGAAATTGTATTCGGAGCTCTCTAAATATCTGGATAGAAGTCCTGGGCAGCCAGGGAAGGGTCAAGGAGAGGTCCTCATCCCAGTCTTGGGGATCCAGGACCTATAAGCCAAGAGTCTGAGGGCAGGCAGGGTATAATCCCAGAACTGATGAGAGAAAAGGCAGCCTCAGACAGAATCTACAGCAAGTAGAGCCAAGAGGAATCAGAACACACGGAGCATCAACCAAAAAGTAATTAAAGCTGAAAAGAGAGCACAGCTCTAATAGTTCCAAGGAGAAACACTTACAAAATAAATATATAAACTCAATAATTTCCTTACATCCCAGCACTAACCAGTTGAAAAATAATGGAAAAGAATCCCATTAAAAATAGAAATAAAGCCCTGGCCAGTTTGGCTCAGTGACTAGCGCTTCAGTCCATGGACCGGAGAGTCCTGGGTTCGGTTCCCGCTAAGGGCATATACCTCAGTTGCAGTTTGTCCCCAGCCCTGGTTGGGGTTGTGTAGGTGGCAACCACTCGATGTATCTCTCTCACATCAATGTTTCTCTCTCTCTCTTCCTCCCTCTCTCCCTCCCGCTCTATCTGAAGATACATGCAAAAATGTCCTCGGTTGAAAATTACAAAAAATAAAATAATAAAATATATGTGCATCAAGTAATAGGATTTGCATATATGAAATTCTAAAACATCTCAGAGGGACATAAAAGAAGAGGTAAATAAAGAGAGTCATAATGCCCTGGCCAGTGACTTAGTTGGTTGGGCATCATCCCATGTACGGAAAGGTTCTGGTTCAATTCCCAGTCAGGGCACATGCCTGGGTTGCAGGCATGGTGGTAAGTTTCTGGGATTTTCTTTTTGATATATCTCAGACTTGGAGCTGAGGAAACTGGTAATCCAGATACACCAACAGGCATAAACCAAAAATTAGCCCTAACAACGACCAGCATTCTCTAGACAAAGGACCAGAGAAGAGACAATCTAGAAAGACAGAAAACTTTAGAAAATAAAAACTCTAATATAGCCACATACCATAGGAAAAACTGTGATCTCACCCCCATCCACACCAGCAAAGACGAAGTGGGGAGCCTAGACTTCTACCCTCACAGGACAGCAACAATGCACCTAACATGTCGCCAGGGTAAAGTCAAAGAAAGTAAAGTAGGAAACTAGGACTTTCATCTTTGACAGCCAATAACCAGCTGCCTCCTATCCATCCTGTGGTGTCAGTGGAAACACTGGAAACCCCATACCCACTCTGCAGTAAAAAAACAGTGTCCCACTCTCAGGTGTCAACAGAGACTGAATGAAGAAGCTAGACTTCTACTTCCACCTGGAAATAATGATACGGCATCTCTCCCGTCCCTGCTGGAGTGGTGTCAGAGAAAGCCAGCTAAAACAGAATGTTAATAACAGCCAGAGTCTCAACATAATATGTAACTATCCAGGTTTCAACTGAAAATCACTCATCACACCCCAAACTAGGAAGATCTCAAACTGAAATTAAAAAGACAAGCAATAGATGCCAACATCAACGTAACAAGAGATGTTAGAGTTATCTGACAAAAACTTTAAAGCGCCCTGGCCAGTTTGGCTCAGCAGTAGAGCATTGGCCTGTGGACCAATGAGTCACCGGTTTGATTCCGACCAAGAGCACGTACCTCGGTTGTGGGTCATCCCCAGCCCTGGTCCAGGTCATGCAGGAGGCAACCAGTCGATGTTTCTCTCTCTCTCCCTCCCACTCTCTCTGAAGATAAACAGAAAAATATCCTCAAGTGAGGATTAAAAAAACAAACAAAAACTTTAAAGCAACCCTGGTAAAAATTCTTTAGTATGCGATTATAAATATGCCCGAAACAGATGGAAAAATAGAAAGCCACAGCAAATACAGCCTGTGTGGCTCAGTGGATTAAGTATGGTCCCCATCAACTGAGAGGTCCCGGTTCGATTCCCAGTCAAGGCATGGGCCTGGGTTGTGGGCTTAATCCCCAGTAGGGGGGATGTGGGAGGCAGACAATCAATGTTTCTCATTGATGTTTCTATCTCTCTCTCCCTTCCTCTCTCTCTAAAAAAAAACAATAAAAACATATTTAAAAAAAGAAAGCCACAGCAAAGAAATAAAGTTTCAGCACAGAAATAGAAAACATAAGGAAGAAACAAATGAAAATTTTATCATTGAAAAATACGACAAAATTAAAAGCTCAGCAGATGGCCTATTCAACAGTATGACTGAGGGAAGAGAGAAATAAAAAAAAAAAAAAATCAGTGAACTAAAATAAAGAGCAATGGAAAACACCCAATCTGAACAACAGAAAGAAAATAGACTAAAATGAATTGGGTAGAACCTCAAGGACCTGTGGGACTATAACAAAAAATATTTGTGTCCTTAGAGTCCCAGAAGGAGAAGAGAAAAGAAGGAGGGGTTGAAAAAGTACTCAAAGAAATAACGGTTGAAACTTCCCAAATTTGGCAAAACATAAACATATAGATTCAGGAAGTTGAATGAACAATAAACAGAATAAACCCAAATAAATCCATACTAAGATACATCACAAATGAACTTCTGGTAACTAAAAACAAAGAAATAAATCTTAAGAGTAGCCAGAGAAAAATGACATCTTATCTATAGAGAAAAAAAAATTAGAATGATAGCAGAACCAGGCAGGGTAGAAGAAAAGGGCATAGTATCTTTCAAGGGCTGAAAGAAAAGAACTGTCAACCCAGAATCCTGTGGCCAGTGAAAATAACCTTCAAAAATGAAGGGGAAATCAAGCATTCTCTGATAAAGGAAACATAAGAGAATTTGTCACCAGCAGACCTACCCCAAAGGAATAACTAAAGACATGGATGTGAGGGCAATCTGGCTGCGACATCTGTCACCCCATTGATCGCCAGGGTTGATTAGGCTGATCTGGCTGGCTAGGCGGGTGTCCCCCTCCTCCCTCAACCGATCCATGTTCGTCCCTCCCGAAGCTGCGCGCTCGGTCGAAGAGGACGACCTTTCCCCCAGAGGAGAGGACCAGTCTTCGGTCAAGGGTATACGAGTAGCTGTGCTCCCCTGCTAGAACCTCCAAACAAGCTCTCAAGGAATAACTAAAGACAGTTCTCTAAATAAAAGGAAAAAATTAAAGAAGGAATCCTGGAACATCAGGTGGGAAGAAAGAACACAGTAAGCAAAAATATGGGATCTTGCCTTAGCCAGTTTTGCTCAGTGCTTAGAGTGTTGGCCCGCAGACCAACGAGTCATGGGTTCGATTCCAGTCAAGGGCACCTACTTCGGTTGTGGTTCGTCCCCAGCCCTGGTCAGGGTTGTGCAGGAGACAACCAGTCGATGTGCCTCTTTCACATCGATGTTTCTCTCTCCCTCCCTCCCACTCTATCTGAAGATAAATAGAAAAATATCTTTGGGTGAGGATTTTTAAAAAAATGGGCCCTGGACGGTTTGGCTCAGCGGTTAGAGCATCGGCCTGCGGTCTGGAGAGACCCGGGTTGGGTTCCCACTAAGGGCACATACCTCGATTGCAGTTTGTCCCCGGCCCTGAATGGGTTGTGTGGGTGGCAGCCACTCGATGTGTCCCTTTCACGTCGATGTTTCTCTCTCTCCCTCTCTCTCCCTCTCTCTCCCTCCCACTCTATCTGAACAAAAAATGGAAAAATGTCCTCGAGTGAGGATTAAAAAAAATAAAATAAAATAAAATAAAGGAATCTTATATAATGATAATATGAGGGACATTATATAGTGATAAAAGGGTCAATCCACCAAAAAGACATGGCAATTCTTAATGTGTATACGTGAAATAAAAAAAGCTGCAAACGATGTAAAGCAAAACTAGTAGAACTAAAAGTTGAGACAGACAAATCCACAATTACAGGGGGAGATTTCAAATCTCTCTCTCAACAGTTGGTAGGACTAGACAGAAAATCAGAAGAATTTAATAACACCATCAACCAACAGGATCTAATCAACATTTATAGAGCAGAATATATATCTATTTTTTTTATCCTCACCCGAGGACATTTTTCCACTTTTTGTTCAGATAGAGTGGGAGGGAGGGAGAAAGAGAGAAACATTGATGTGAAAGGGACACATTGAGTGGCTGCCACCCACACGACCAACCAGGGCCGGGGACAAACTGCAACCAAGGTATGCGCCCTTCAAGGGAACCAAACCCGGGTCTCTCTGGACCGCAGGCCGACGCTCTTACTGCTGAGCCAAACCGGCCAGGGCAAGAGCAGAATTTAATATATTTTTTTCTTTATTGATTTTGGAGAGAGAGGTAGTGAGAGGGAGAGAAAGATAAAAACATCAATGAGAGAGAACATCAATTGGCCACCTCTTGCATGCCCCCCACTAGTGATTGGGCTCACAACCTGGGCATGTGCCCTGACTGGGAATCCAACGAGCAACCTCTTGGTGCATGAGTCGACACTCAAACAGTGAGACACACCGGCCAGGCCAGAATATGCATTCTTTTTAAGTGCTTATGGAACACAAACCAACATAGACTTTATCCAGGGTCATAAAACAAACCTCAATAAATTAAAAAATTTAAATCATACAGAGCATGTTCTCTGATCAAAATGTAAAACTAGAAATCACTAATTTCTAACAGTTGGAAACTAAACAACATTCTTTTAAGTAATCCATGGACCAGAAAGGAAGTCTCTGCCCGGCCGGTGTGGTTGAGCATCGACCCCATGCACTAAGAGGTCACCAGTTCAATTCCTGGTCAGGGCACATGCCCAGGTTGTGGGCCAAGTCTCCAGTGGGGGGCATGCAGAAGGCAGCCAATTAATGTTCTCTCTCATCGATGTTTCTTTCTCTCCCTCTCCCTTTCTCTCTCTCTCGAGTCAATAAATAAAAATTTTTAAAAAAGGAAGTCTCAAGGACTTTAGAAAACACAACTGAAAACAAAAATGTAATATATTAGCCCTGGTTGGTTTGGCTCAGTCCTCAGACTGAAGCGTTGAGGGTTCAATTCTCGGTCAAGGGCACGTACCTGGGTTGCAGTCGGGGTCTATGAGAAGTAACCAATCGATGTGTCTCTCAGACATTGATGTTTCTTTCTCTCTCTGGCCCTCCCTCCCTTCCACTCTATCTAAAAATTAATGGAAAAATATCCTTGGGCGAGGATTAAAAAAATAAAAACAAAAACAAACAAACAAAACCCCTCAACAGTATACAAAACAATCCAATTAGAAAATGGCCAAAAGACATGTATAGACATTTCACCAAATAGGATATACAGTTAGGAAAAAGCAAATGAAAAAAAAGTTCGCCCTGGCCGATTTGGCTCAGCGGTTAGAGCGTCGGCCTGCGGTCCTGAGAGACCCGGGTTCGGTTCCCGCTAAGGGCATGTACCTCGGTTGCAGTTTGTCCCCGGCCCTGGTCAGTCGTGCGGGTGGCAGCCACTCGATGTGTTCCTTTCACATCGATGTTTCTCTCTCTCTCTCTGTTCCTCTCTCTCCCTCCCACTCTACCTGAACAAAAAAAATGGGAAAATGTCCTCGGGTGAGGATAAAAAAAAAAAAAGTTCAACATTTGCCCTGGCCAGTCTGGCTCAGCGGTTAGAGCAGCAGTCCGTGGATCAATGACTCCCGGGTTTGGTTCCCGCTGAGAGCACGTACCTCGCTTGCAGTTTGTCCCTGGCCTCTGTTGGGCTTGTGTGGGTGGCAGCCACTTGATGTGTCTCTCTCACATTGATGTTTCTCTCTCTCTCTTCCTCCTGCTCTCCCTCCCGCTCTATCTGAAGATAAATGCAAAAATGTCCTCAGGTGGGGATAAAAAAAAAGAAAGTTCAACATCTTCAGCTATTAGGGCAATAAAATTACAAAGAGATATCATGCCCGGCCAATGTGGCTCAGTGGTTGAGCATCAACCCATGCACATAGAGGTCACTGGTTCAATTCTTGGTCAGGGCATATGCTCAAGTTGTAGGCCAAATCCCCAGTGGGGAACATGCAAGAGGCGACCAACTGATGTTCTCTCTCATCCATGTTTTTATCTCTCTCTCCCTCTCCTTTCCTATCTCTCTAAAATCAACAAGGAAAAATAATGTTTTAAAAGAGATATCACCGCATATCTATCAGAATGGCTAAAATTAAAAATGGTGATAATACCAAAAGTTGGTGAGGATGAAGAGAAACTGGAGCACTCATGCATTGCTGGTGGGAATGCAAAATGGTATAGCCACTCCAAAAACAGTTTGGTAGTTTTTTTAAAAACTAAACATGCCACTACCATATGACTCAATAATTGTACTCCTGGGCACTTATCCCAGAGAACTGAAGATTTATTTTCTCTGAAAAAATCTCTGTACATGAATGTTTATAGCATCTTTATTCATAATAGCCAAAAACTGGAAAACAACCCAGATGTCCTTCAATGGATGAAAAGTTAAACATATTGTGGTTTATCCATGCCAAACATATTGTGGTTCATCCACGCCATGTACTCCTTAAAAGGAATGAATTATTCATATATCAACAATATGAATGAGCCTCCTGAAAATTATGTTGAGTTTAAAAAGCCAATATGAAAAGTTTACATACTGTGGATTCCATTTATATAACATTCTTAAAATTTCAAAATTATAGAAATGGAATACAGATTAATGGTTGCTGGGGTGGTTAAGGACTAGAGAGGGAAAGAGAAGTAGATATGGTTATAAAAGGGCAACAGGAGGGATCCTTGGCATGCTAGAAATGTTCTGTATTTTGACTTTATCAATGTCAATATCCTGGTTGTAATATTGTACTATGGTTTTAAGATGTTACCATTATGAGAAAACTGGGTAAAAGATACATGAGATCACTCTGCATTCTTTCTTTCTTTTTTTCTTTGTATTATTTCTGACAACTTCATGTGAATCTATTTTATTATCTCAAAATAAAAAGTCTAATTTTAAAAATACACAAAATGAGCCCTAGCCAGTTTGGCTCAGCAATTATAGTGTGGGCCTGCGGACCAAAGGGTCGAGGGTTGGATTCCGGTCAAGGGAACGTACCTGGGCTGCAGGTTCGATCCCCAGCCCTGGTGGGGGTCGTGTGGGAGGCAACCCATCGGTGTCTCTCTCTCACATTGATGTTTCTCTCTCTCTCTCCCCCTCCCACCCTCCCTCTTTCTCTAAAAAAAAATTCAATGAAAAACTATCCTCAGATAAGGATTAACAAAAAATAAATAAAATTCTAAAAAATACACAAAATGAGATGACAGATGTAAACCATGAAAAAAAGACTTGCGCCCTGGCCGGTTTGGCTCAGCGGTTAGAGCGTTGGCCTGCGGTCCAGAGAGACCCGGGTTCGGTTCCCGCTAAGGGCGCATACTTCAGTTGCAGTTTGTCCCCGGCCCTGGTCGGTCGTGCGGGTGGCAGCCACTCGATGTGTTCCTTTCACATCAATGTTTCTCTCTCTCTCTCTCTGTTCCTCTCCCTCCCTCCCACTCTATCTGAACAAAAAATGGAAAAATGTCCTCGGGTGAGGACAAAAAAAAAAAAGACTTGCCATATATAAGTAATTAATATCCTTACCTGTCCAAAGCTTTTATAAGTCAATTTAGAAATTTTAAAAAAAGCAAAGAACACAAATAGTAACTTCACAAAGAAAAAATACAAGCAACTAATATTCATCAAAATAATCAAGTACACCCTGGCCGGTTTGGCTCAGCAGTTAGAGTGTCGGCCTGTGGTCCAGACAGACCCGGGTTCAGTTCCCGCTAAGGGCACGTACCTCGGCTGCAGGTTGTCCCCGGCCCTGGTTGGTGGTGTGGGTGGCAGCCACTCGACGTGTCCCTTTCACATCGATGTTTCTCTCTCTCCCTCTCACTCTATCTGAACAAAATATGGAAAAATGTCTTTGGGTGAGGATAAAAAAAAAATTTATTTTAATTAAAAAAAAAAAGCAAGTCACGTGTGTATGCCCTGGCCGGTTTGGCTCAGCGGTTGGAGTGTCAGCCTAGGGACCAGAGAGTCCTAGGTTCAGTTCCCGCTAGGGGCACGTACCAAAATAAAATAAAAAAACAAAAGAAGTCATGTGTGGTAAGGCAGACAGCCAGTTCACTTGTTCTGAGAACAAGCCAGGCATTCTTTTTTTTTTTCAAAATGTTTTTATTGATTTTATAGAGAAAGGAAAGGAGAGATAGAAACATCAATGTGAGAGAGAAACATCGATTGTCTGCAGGAGGGAGAAACCTGGGCATGTGCCCAGACTGGGAAGTGAACTGGGACCTCTCAGTCCATGGGACAATGCTCAATCCACTGAGCCACACTGGCTGTGCCAAGCCAGGCGCTCTAAGGGAACTGAGCCATAGGGCAATTGGTAGAGACGTAAGATGTTGGGCAGGAGCAGCCTCCCTTTCGCCTCTGATGAGACATCACTTACCTTTCAGAGTTCCTAAAGTTGATGCTAATAAGGGTAGATATGTCTGGATTGACACATCACAGGTGTGACATTTTGGTTGGTCTGTTATACAGTCCTGATTCTTGATTCTACTACGACTGCTCCCATGTTCCTGAAAACCTTGAAACTGTTTTGAGCACCTGACCTGAAGCCTTTATAAAAGGTGAAAGGACATAAACATTCACACAAAATTGTATGCTGAACAGAAAAAGCTAGCCACTTCCCCCCACATCACAGCCCCTACCCCATATCACACACTTACCTGTAACAAGCACTTGATCCGTTCTCCAGGGGTCATAATTCCTGTGGTAAATACACCAGATAACATCCCAGCTGCAAATAGTTGGGGGTAGCTATATTGAAAACAAAAACCAGAAGCAAGTATCTGTGACTACCTACACAGGACAGAGGCAATATCAGTAGAGGATGACTTTGTAAGAAAAAATAAGTACTTGGACTGGGCAGAAAGCCCAGAACAAATAAACCATATTTTTCACAAAAGCCAAGTTCCAAGTGTATTCTGATGTCAAACTTCCCAAGGCAGGGTTCTCAGTGCCAAGAGCTATGCGAGGCCCACCTGCACAATCAGATGGCCTCAATCGTGGAAGAAGCTTCATAGTGAGACACGGTTTCATCCCCTGGGCCTGCCATGCACATTGACTATGGACAAATTTCCAGGCTTCTCTGAGCCTTGCTTCCCCATCTATAAAATTCAAAATTGTGGAATAAAGCTACTAACCCAGGACCTGGGTCTCAGTCGACCCCAGTTCCCCTCCAATCTCACCTCCTCTGGATCACCAAGGGCCTGAGAACATTTTAAGCCAAAATTCAAGCAGGACAGCATCAAGGCCAGGGAGAACAGCTGTGGCCACCTCCACAGGCTGAGGGGCAGTCTGGTCAGTGATAAGGAATGTGCTATAAGATACTGAGAAAGGGCCAGACAGGGATGGTACCCAAATAGGCATGATGAGTCCTGTGGCCCTCTGCGCAGGGAACAGTCCCCTAGTGGCCACAGATATGGATCCTCTCAGCCAGCTCCCCACAGAATGAGCTACACTGAGTGTTTGGAGGAGTCTGAGGCTCCTAGCATCTATAGCCCACAGCGGTCTATGCCATCTCTGGAATCTTTTCCTTCTGGGATTAGCAATACCAGGGTGGTCTAGAGGCCATGGAGCACAAAGCTACAGTTAGCATCTCAGCAGAGTCCCCACAATTTAGCAAATGTTGCTGAAAAACTTCAGTTATTTGCCTAAGCCTCAGGCCACTCTTAACCCCAAACCTCTGATGGCTGAGACTTTCGGCCAGTTCCACAAGGAGCCCAAGACCTGAGGAACAGATGTCCAATGGGAGTAGGGAGACATCCACTGAGGGTCCTTCCCTCCAGGCAGGGCACAAGTCTCAATAGCCCAGTTTTTCCCACACACTCACCCCAGGCAGGGCTCACACATCTGCCTCAGGCATGCAAGCCCAGCACAAAGGCTGACTGCTGAATAGTCAAGAGACTTGCTTTTTTTAAAAAATGTTTTTCATTGATTTTAGAGAGAGAGGAAGGGAGAAGGAAAGAGACAGAAACTTGATGAGAGAGAAACATCAATTGACTGACTCCTGCATGTCCCCTATGGGGGATTTAGCCCACAACCTGAGCATCTGCCATGACCAGGAATTGAACCAGTGACCTTTCAGTGCATGGGACGATGCTCAATCCACTGAGCCACACCAGCCAGACAAGCAACTTACTTTTAGGCATGGTCTCCTTCACAGTCCCAATTCACATTACTGTCCCCAAGAAGAGACCTCTCAGCAAATAAACTTCCCCTTGTGAGACCAGCATGCTACATTCTTCCCAGGATGCCCAGACGCTAGGCCAGGCACAACTCTATCTTATGGAAACTGGGGATTTTCCTCTGAATGGGGTCTCTGTGTGTGCACAGGGTATCAAGGAGACACTCTGTGATTGCCTGGCCCATTCTGCCACCCCTTGGAGGCATCTGTGAGTGCTGGCCCTTCCTGGGCTTCCACCCCAAGGTACTACTCCTTTCCACACTATCCCCAAACACCACTGCAGGGAGGTGAACATGGCAGGGTTGACATTCAGGATTCAGAACATGACAGGGTTATGGGGGTGGAGTCCTGAGTGTCTCAATCTTTGCCTAAGCAGGAAGAGTGTGTCTCTGAGTGCTGATGTGATTTTACAGGGAACGCAACCCATAGGCCAAAGTACCGGCAGTGACCTGACTAGGGTTCTGGTGCATGGCCCTGGTACAGCTGTGAGAAGTCTGTTTTCATGAACTATCTTGTCATGAGCTATAATTCTGATTCATCTGCCACTTCATACCCAAATCCAACTTCTTAAAGTTTATTAAAAGGGAAAACACTAACTTATTTCACTTTAACAGAGAAATCATTATCTGAAGTAATTCTAATCATGTTATAAAAATGAAGTCAAATAGCCCTGGCCAGTGTAGCTCAGTGGTTCCAGCATTGCAGGTTGGTTTCCCAGTCAAGGGCAACTGCAGGAGGCAACCAATTGATGTGTCTCTCTCACATTGATGTTTCTCTCTCTCTCTCTCTCCCTTCCTCCCTCCCTCCCTCCCTCTCTCTCTCCCTCCCCTTCTCTCCCTCCCTCCCTTCCACTCTCTCTAAAAGCAATAGAAAAAAATATCCTCGGGTAAGGATTAACAACAAAAAAGTAAAACAAGCCCTGGCCAGTTTGGCTCAGCGGTTAGAGCGTTGGCCTGTGGTCCGGAGAGACCCGGGTTCGGTTCCCGCTAAGGGCACGTACTTCGGTTGCAGTTTGTCCCCGGCTCTGGTTGGTCGTGCGGGTGGCAGCCACTCGATGTGTCCCTTTCACGTCGATGTTTCTCTCTCTCTCTCTTCCTCTCTCTCCCTCCCATTCTATCTGTACAAAAGATGGAAAAATGTCCTCGGGTGAGGATTAAAAAAAAAAAAAGTAAAACAAAAGTAGGAATCTCCCTTTTCCCAACCAGGTGATGGAAAGCAAGGCTGCTGCTGTCATTACTGCAGTACCAGGTACTGCTCAGGGCACCTGACACACATTTTGGCATTCAGACCTCACAACACCACTAAGGGCTGGCATTACTAATATCCCCTAAGGGCAATACTACCTCACTAAAGGAATTATAACGATCTGGCAAGGGGTGAGGATGGGCTTTTTCTCTTTTGATTCACAGAGCAAAAGAAACTCAAGTAACTCCCTCATGTGGTACTTCTAGGGGCCAGCCTCAGGGCCCAGGAGGACAGCCACTGCCTGTCAGCCAAGATTCTTTCCTTTAATTCAGGTCATACCACCAGGCAGAGCAGCATCAAGTGCTTCAGGCCTACAAGTACTCACCTGAGCACATCTTCTGGGTGTTTCTGTTGCAGTTTCTTCCCCAAACCAAAGCCAAAGAAACACACAGCGAACATGGGGGTGACCCCGATGATGGGGGCAGCCATGCCTCGATATAGGCCTGTGATGCCCTGCAAATAATCACAGAAGCAGAAGCTGTTTATAGACCCCACCACCTTTTACATCACTGAAACAGGCAAGCAGTGTGTCCGCTCACCTGAGGCTTCATTCCTTCACCTCTCCACCAAGCAAGGAGAGCTTTTAAAAGGAAGAAAACCCCAACATTTATCAGAAATAGTTGTCCTCTTAGCCCTGGATGGTGTGACTCAGTCAGTTGGGTGCCGACCCATGCACCGGAAGGCTGTCAGTTTGATTCCTGGTCAAGGCACATGCCCAGGTTGCAAGCTCAACTCCCAATAGTGGGTGTGCTGAAAGCAGCCAATTGATGTTTCGCTCTCATATCAATGTTTCTCTCTCTCTCTCTCTCTCCCCCTTCTTCTCTCTCTAAAAATCAATTTAAAAAATCTTTTTTTTTTTTTTAAAGAAAGAAATAGCCCAGCCAGTGTGGCTTAGTGGTTTGAGCATTATTCCATGGACTGAGAGGTCCCGGTTTGATTCCCAATCAGGGCACATGATCAGGTTGCAGGCTCAATCCCCACAAGAGGGGTTGCAGGAGGTAGCTGATCAACATTTCTCTCTCCCATTGATGCTTCTCTTTCTCTCCCTTCCTCTGTCTCTAAAAAAATCAATAAAAACATATTTAAAAAATAATAATAAGACTGCACATCACTTTTCATTAGTATAGTTTGGTAAAAACCAACTATGTTGCCCTGGCCAGTTTGGCTCAGCGGTTAGAGCGTCGGCCTGTGGTCCAGAGAGACCCGGATTCGGTTCCCGCTAAGGGCATGTACCTCGGTTGCAGTTTGTCCCGGCCCTGGTTGGTCGTGCAGGTGGCAAGCACTTGATGTGTCCCTTTCACGTTGATGTTTCTCTCTCTCTCTTCCTCTCCCTCCCTCCCTGAACAAAAAATGGAAAAATGTCCTCAGTAGACAGAAAGACAAATAGATAGATATTCCAACCAAACAAGGGTGGTAAACTAAGGGAAAGGAAGGTCTGGGATCCGGGGCAGCAAAGACTCAGTCCAGAGAGGTGGAAGGGACTTCCAGAATAGTATTGGGTGCAGTAGGCCTAGGAAAAAGCAAGTCCACATGAGCGTACAAAGAGGGAGGACTCCAGGAGGCATGTTTCTAAAGAAAAACAAAGTAATACAACACACACTGGAACAACAGATTATTACTGTTCAGGTAGTGTGGAAAACCAGAGAGGTATTCTATAGAGCATTTAAGGTACAGTAGGACAGAGACAGCCATTCGAAGAAACACAAGCAACTGAAAAGGACATAAATCATTAACCCAACCTCAAGACAAACAAAAAGCTGAACAATAAATGAATGCACATCATAGCACATTACTTAGTCAACAGAAAGAAACATATCTAGTTGCAATAACCAGTGAATTGGATTAAATCACAATGTAGGATAAAATTATATGGGCAGGGCAGAAAGGGGATAGTTAAGGTAAGAGTTAAAATCATCTACCATAGCCTAGCCGGTGTGGCTCAGGGAACTGAGCATCATCCCACTGACTGAGAGGTCTCAGTTTGATTCTTGGTCACGGCACATGCCTGGGTTTTGGCTCAATCCCCAAAGAAGGGCGTGCAGGAGGCAGCCAATCCATGTTTCTCTCACATCGATGTTTCTAACTCTTTCTACCTTTCTCCCTCTATAAAAAAATCAATAAAAACATTTTTTAAATCGCGTATCATAAATAGGGAAATAAAACACATAAAAATGTATGACATATAGCAGTGAATGTGTATAATTAATGTAAGCTTCACAGCATAAACTGCAAGAGCTCAAAGTAGTTGCCCTTGGAGAATGGGGTGGAGGGGGAATGAGGGGAAGATCACTTTGTTACTCTGTTAAAAGCCTTTCAGTAACAAACTAAGTGCTTGTATCGCTTTAATACAAAACATATATATATATTTTTTATCCTCACCCGAGGACATTTTTCCATTTTTTGTTCAGATAGAGTGGGAGGGAGAGAGAGAGACAGAAACATCGACGTGAGAGAGACACATCGAGTGGTTGCCACTCACACAACCCAACCAGGGCCAGGGACAAACTGCAACCGAGGTATGTGCCCTTAGCGGGAACCGAACCTGGGTCTCTCTGGACCTCAGACCGACGCTCTAACCACTGAGCAAAACCGGCCAGGGCACAAAATAATTTTTTTATGTTTTTTTTTTCTTTATCGATTTTAGAGAGGGAGAGGAAGAGACATAGAAACGTCAATGAGAGAGAACATGGATTGGCTGCCCCCCACTGGCAAACGGGCTCATAATCTGGGCATGTGCCCTGACCGGGAATTAAACCGGTGACCTCTTGGTGCGTGGGTTGATGCTCAACCACTGAGCCACACTGGCAGGGCCAAAATAATTTTTTAATAATATGTTTTAATTACCCGGCTGGGTGTGGCTCAGTGGTTGAGTGTCGACCCATGCACCAAGAGGTCACTGATTCAATTCCCAGTCAGGGCACATGCCCAGGTTGTGGGCCCAATCCCCAGTTGGGAGCATGTGGGAGGTGGCCAACAGATGTTCTCTCTCATTGATGTTTCTATCTCTCTCTCCCTCTCCCTTTACCTCTCTCTAAAAAATCAATAAAGAAAAAAATGTTTTCATTTTTTAGTCCATGGGTCTACGCTCAACCACTGAGCCATACTATCTGGGCTACAAAATAATTTTTAAAACAAATACAAAAAGATATAAAGTTGCTCCTTATGGAGAGTGGCAGGAATAACAGTGGGCCTGCAACTGGAAGGGTCCAGACTCAGGCTGGAGAACCTGCCTAGCTGCAGACCCTGGGCATTCACAGCCCATCTACTTTCCAGAACTAAAAGGGGCACAATTGTGCCTGTCAGCACATCTGGATCCTGCAAAGGTCAAACACTACTATAGGCTCTAAACTGATTCTTTGAAAATAAATTGCAGAGGCAATAAAAAGGAAAGGGTGAATGAAACAGTAAAGTTCTGCCCGGCCAGTGTGGCAGAGTGGTTGAGCATCGACTCATGCACCAAGAGGTCACTGGTTCGATTCCTGGTTAGGGCATATGCCCAGGTTGTGGGCCAAATCCCCATTGGGGAGCATGCAGGAGGCAGCTAATCAATATTCTCTCTCATTGATGTTTCTCTCTCTCTCTCTCTCTTTCTCTCCCTCCCTTCCTCTCTCTCTAAAATCAATAAAGAAAAAAACTTTGAAAAAAAAAAGAAACAGAAAAGTTCTGAGGAGGATCTAAAAAAGCATCTCTACAAAAGCATCGAGGGAACAAAGTCCTTCCAAAGTCCCCTCTATAGCTCTCCATCTGGTTGAGCAGGATGCTCAGGTCCTGAGGGGCCAAGCCTATGCCCCTGACAATTCTTCTAGTCTTCCTTCCACTGTACTGGCCCACCCAGATTCATGCAGCACAACCAAGACCTCTATCTGGCAGCTTCAAAAAAGCACAAAGCTATGTCTGGCACAACAAAAACCAGGGACACACACCAATATGGAATAAGGAAGCCTACTCAACTCTGCAGGGAGTTGGGTTTACACAAACCATTCTCACCAGGCCCCCAGCATCCAGCACACTGTTCAGCCACTAAACAGTTATTCAGTAACGTTTGTTGACCAAGGGGCATGCAAACTTGCCTCTCTTCCATAAGGGCAGAGGACTCTGAGCAGACCTGAAGCCTAAAGCCTCCATCCCACACTGATCAGACTCTGACCAGGGCAGTACAGACAAAAGAAGTAGCACCTTACGGAAAAAAAAGGCAGCACCAACTCATGTATGGGTGCAAAATCTTTCTCCCATTCCTGGGTCCTGCAGGAACCATGGGAACAACTACTCTCCAGGCCGAGTCTATTATTTACCAGCAGAAATCCCTCTTTATCTGAGTGACACCTGCTTCTCAGTTTCTGTATACTTAATAGACTATATATTTAATAGGGCATTTATTCATATGAGAGCTATACTTTAGGAAGCAAAGGAAGAGAAACATTGTCAACAAGTTCTTTTTACACATATGCTAATGAAGTGAGTAGAAATATCACTATTAACTAAAACTTTTTAAAAATCCCATGTTTTGCCCAGCCAATGTGGCTCAGTGGATTGAGTGTTGTCCCATGGACTGAGAGGTCCCAGTTCAACTCCAGATCAAGGCACATACCCAGGTTGCAGACATGATCCCCAGTAGAGGGCATGCAGGAGGCAGCTGATGGATCTTTCTCTCTCACATAGATATTTCCATCTTTCTCTCCCTTCCCCTCTCTCTGAAAAATCAGTAAAACATATTTTTTAAAAATCCCACGTTTTCACTCTAAGAAGTATCTGAAAAATGATTATATAATTCAATAACCCCAAGCCAATTTAGTATCCTTGACTAGCTAGGGGTTTGAAGACTCTGATGGCCTCTCTCACTGTTTCTCAGACTGGCTAATTTTTCCTCCAAACTTTACCTAAACTTCGGCCATTGATCCCTGTCAAACTAATTGATCCAGATTTGTATTTTCTCCCACTTCAAGTCTCCAGTTATCCTCACTAATTTCCTGTAGTCTAAATTCTGCCTTCCAAAGAGATAATCTTTTTATTAGCTTTAGTCATCCATATAAAACTGGAACTGAAACTAGCAAAGACTCCAAAGCAGTGACAATAGGACGGCATAGGACGGCATGGTAAGAGAGGCACCTCTGAGGGCTAGACCTCCAGCAGAACTACACAAAGTAAACCTATCCCCTGGGGGGAATTATGAACCAACCCTGTGAATGTGTTCCTCTGAGTAAAAGGAATACCTTGCACCAAGATACAATACCTCTCTAACAAGAGTCTTCCGGAAGCAGTCAAAGGTCCCAGAATACATGGGAGGCTGTCCAGGCAAAGTCGGGGGCTGCGTCTGCAGTCGGACCTGAAATTAGAAGTTAAAATACAGTCATTTCCCAGAATCAGAAATGCCTCACTTAACTTGTTAGATTCAGATGTCTCTTTCCTCCAGTTTATTCATACCCTGCACTCACAATTCATTAGTGGCATGCTTTTAGAGAGTGACAGTTCCTCTGTTCCCCATCCACTTACTCTCACCATTTATTTCTTACTTAATGGATCCCACAATGACCCAATGGGATAGGCACTCCCAGTTTATAGAGGAGGAGACTGGGTTTAGTAAGTTCAAGTGCTATGCTGATGCAAAGCTTAGCTCTACCACCTACTCCAATATATAGTGGCATGTTGGTAGTTAGATAAGGTGCTCAGCAATGGCATTTTGGAGAGAGGTGGATTTAATCTCACTTTTTTGGATCCTCACCCCTCTTGACCTTTTGGTATATCCAATGCTTCAACTGTCTCTCTCTCTCTCTCTCTCTCTCTCTCTCTCTTTATTTATTTATTTAATCCTCGCCCAAGGACATTCTTTGTATTCATCTTCAGGCAGAGCGGGAGGAGAGGAGGAAGAGAGAGAAACATCGACGTGACGTGAGAGAGACACATCGAGTGGTTGCCATCCACATGACCGCAACCAGGGCCAGGGACAAATTGCAACCGAGGCATGTGCCCCATGTGCCCTTAGCGGGAACCGAACCCGGGTCTCTCTGGACCACGGGCCGATGCTCTAACCGCTGAGCCAAACCAACCAGGGCCTGTCTCTCTCTTTAAACCTCCCTTCTTTTTTTTTTATTCTCACCCGAGGAAATTTTTGCATTTATCTTCAGATAGAGTAGGAGGGAGAGAGGGAGAAACATCAACGTGAGAGAGATACATCGACTGGTTGCCACCCATACAACTCCAACTGGGCCAGGGACAAACTGCAACCAAGGTACGTACCCTGAGCAGGAACCGAACCCAGGTCTCTCTGGTCTGCAGGCCAACACTCTAACCACTGAGAAAAACCGGCCAGAGCTAAACCTCCTTTCTTAGTGCATCCTCCTTTGTCTCCTTTTCTACTCCAGGCATTCTCCAAGGCTTAGCACCCTACTCATCTGGTCCGCCATTCCTTTCAGAAAATTCAGATTCCAGGGCTTCAGCTGTTGTACAGTGATGACCATCACTGAACCATCTCCAGATTTTCCCTCCCCACCTTTAGGGCTAGATTTCCAATTGCCTGGAGACGCTCAAATCACCTACTCAAATCACCTCCAGAATCTCACCCTCCTGATGATGACTGTCCCATTTGTGCCAGAGCTGCCTGACTACCCCCCTTTCTCAGGATGTGAAACCCTAGTATCACCTCTGACTACTTCTTGTTGCTCTTCTTGCTCTAATCACATGAGTACCAAGTCCTTCAAGATGTTTCCAGAATCCCAGTTCTTTCCCCCTCTTAGTCTGAGTCTTCTCCCAGCCCATTTTCTCACCTATTCTGACCCAGTGTAGTGGTTTTCAATATTGTCCACTAATCCTTTGACACTCTTTCACTTCAAATGGTAAATTCTAATTCCCCTCCCCTAGAATGTGGGCCAGACTCAGCAATTCACTTCTACTGAATAGAATGTGATGGTACTTCTATGGATGAATAGATAAATAAGATGTGGCATTTTCTTTCTTTCTTTATTTCCTCACCAGAGGACATTTTTCCATTTTTTGTTCAGATAGAGTGGGAGGGAGAGAGAGGAAGAGAGAGAGAGAGAAACACAGATGTGAAAGGAACATATCGAGTGGCTGCCTCCCGCACAACCCAACCAGGGCCGGGGACAAACTGCAAATGAAGTACGTGCCCTTAGGGGGAACCAAACCCAGGTCTCTCTGGAGCGCAGGCCTACACTCTAACCGCTGAGCCAAACGGCCAGGGCAATGTGTTATGTCATTTAAAAAACAGAATGACACCTCACAGCTGTCAGAATGGCGCCATCAACAAATCATCAAACAACAAGTGTTGGCGAGGGTGTGGAGAAAAGGGGACTCTAGTACACTGCTGGTGGGAATGCAGACAGGTGCAGCCACTATGGAAAACAATATGATGTTACCTCAAAAAATTAAAAATTGAACTTCCATTTGACCCAGTGATCCCACTTCTAGGAATATACCCTAAGAAGCCTGAAACACCAATCAGAAAAAATATATGTACCCCCATGTTCATAGCAGCACTATTTACAATAGTTAAGATCTGGAAACAGCCCAGGTGTCTATCAGTAGACGAATGGATAAAAAAAAGTTGTGGTACATATACACAATGGAGTACTATGCAGCTGTAAGAAAGAAAGATCTCTTATCCTTTGAGATGACATGGAGGGACCTGGAAAGTATTATCCTAAGCGAAACAAGCCAAGCAGAAAAAGACAAATACCACATGATCTCACTTATTTGTGGAATATAATGAACATAACAGTCTGAGGAATAGGGTAGACCCAGAGACATGGAAGTAGGGTACAGACTGACAACCCTCAGAAGAGGGGGTGTTGGGGGGAGGGAAGAGATAAACCACAAAACTTATATGCATGTATGATAACCAATGGACATGGACAACAAAGCCGGGGACAGGGTGGAGGGCTGGGGAGGCAGGGTGTCAACGGGGTAAAAAAGGAGAAACATCTGTAACAAAAATAAAATTAAAAAAAATAAAAATAAAAAAGAATGAAATTTTTCCATTAAAAAAAAAACATGAATGGACCTTGAAAGTAAAATGCTAAGTGAGCCCTGGCTGATTTGCTAAGTGGTTTGAGCATCAGCCCAAAGACTGAAGAGTCTCAGGTTCGATTCCAGTCGAGGGCACATACCTCAGTTGCAGTGTGTCCCCTGCCCTGGTCAGGGTCATGAGGGGGGCAACCAGTCGATGTGTCGCTCCACTCTCCCACTGATGTTTCTCTCTCTCTCCCCCCTCCCCCATCTGAAGATAAATGGAAAAATATCCCCAGGTGAGGATTAAAAAAAAAAAAAAAAAAGCTAAGTGAAACAAGTCAGAAATACAAAGAAAAGTACCATATGATTTCACTCATATGGAATCCAAAAAAAAAAGAACAGCCTGACCAGTGTGGCTCAGTGAATTGAGCATCATCCCATGGACTGAGAGGTCTTGGTTCAATTGCTGGCTCAATCCCCAGTAGGGGGTGTGCAGGAGGCAGCTGATCAATGTTTCTCTCTCACATCGATATTTCTATCTCTCTCCCCCTTCCTCTCTCTCTAAAAAATCAATAAAAACATATTTTTAAAAAATGAACAAATCAAACAAACTCATAGATACAGAGAACAGATTGGTGGTTACCAGAGGGAAAGGAGGTTGGGAGGTAGGCAAAAGGGGTAAAGAGAGTCAACTGCATGGTGATAGACAGTAACTAGACTTTTGGGGGTGATCACTTTGTAGTGTATACAGATGTTGGATTATGATGTTGTATACCTGAAACTTTTTTTTTTTAATCTTCACCTGAGGATATTTTCCTTTTTCTTTTTTTTTTTTTAAATGTAATCCTCACCCAAGGACATTTTTCCATTTATCTTCAGATAGAGTGGGAGGGAGAAAGAGGGAGAGGAAGAGAGACAAATCAGCTGGTTGCCTCCCATACGACCCTGACCAGGGCTGGGGACGGAGGTACATGCCCTTGACCAGAATCGAACCCAGGACGCTTTGGTCTGCGGGCCGACATTCTAACCATTGAGCCAAACTGGCCAGGACCTGAAACTTTTTTTTTAAGTAGGAAGAGAGGCCAGTCAATTCTGTTCTCATCAATGTGAGAAACACCAATCACTGATTGATTGCCTCCAGCACACACCCCCACCAGGGTTCAAACTGGACCTGGGCATGTGCCCTGACCAAGAATTGAACCCAAGACCCTCCGGTGCATGGAAACGACACTCCAAACAACTAAGTCACACCAGCCAGGGCTGAATAAACATTTGATTTCATGTTTCACAGTGCCCTAACTAGGCAGGTTGCTTTAATCCTGCTCCTCTCCTAGGTGAAAGGCAACGAAAAGCCTGCTGTCTAAACCTGCCAAGAGGACATGCCCCAAGCTGTTTCCCTGGTAGAAACCTGATCTGAATTTTAAGAAGGCCCCTACACAGGCTTCCCACTCTATGAGAGTCATATCTGCTCCCCACATGCCCACCATAGTCATGATCTATACATTTCCTCCATGTATGTGTCCAGAAATAAAGTTAGAAACTAGGATGAAACTTAGAATACTAAGTCACAGGGCATGAACTGTGGCCTCCATTAAGGTCTGGCTGAAAGTGTTGCAGAAGGAAGAGCTAAGGCAGGCATGATGTGAGGAAGACCAGGGCAAAGCCCTGATGACGGTCATCTTGACCATGGTTTCCTCACCTGGGAGTTGTGAAGACCAGCATGGCCCTGGATAGATGGTCACTGGCTTGGCAGGGGCTCAGTCACGGAGGACATAATCGCTCCCCACAGGAGGCCATTCAGGCTAACATGGGGTGACAGGCTGAAGATGGCCAGAGCAATGTGTCAAAAGACATCTCTAGAATAACCGTGCTTCTGTCTTTAGCTCTCTTCCTTAGATGAGCTTTACAAGCGACCTGTTTCAATCTTGCTGATAATGTAGGGTTCGCTGAAACCAGAGCTGTGGGGAGGCGCTTTTTCTTTCCCATCCCCAAAGAAGTGGTGCAAGGTCAGGAGAGGCTGCGAGGCAGAGAACTTTAAATCACAGCCCTTGATGGCCGGTTAGAGACTGCTCACTCTGCGCGATCCAGTTGCGGGCGAGGAACTGCTTCCCCAAATCCCTAAAGGGGCGAAAGGGAGATTCCCTAGACTTCTCACGGAAGCTCCCACGGGCCCCCTTTCTGTCCCGGGCTGCGCCTCGCGGGAGACCCTGCTTTCCGCGCCCCACCGGGCCTCCTCCCTCCAACTCGCGCCCCAGCCTCCTCGCACCTTAACCGTGTCCAGCGGGTGCCCCACGAACACCAGGCACATGCCTCCAAAGCCGCCGGCCAGTAGATTTTTCAGCGGGCTGATGGGCTTCGCCTGGTCTGTCATGGTCCGTCTGTCAGTACCTTCCCTGCAGCCTAGCTGTACTGCCCCAGTCGCAGCACCAGCTCCGCCGACCTTTCACCCACTTTCGGGTGGGCGGGGCAAGAGCTTGGGGCAGGTCCGGAGGAGGGCCTAGACTTCCCGACCTAGCTTCCGCCGGGGAGCTGCTTCCGGTCGCGGCCCCGCCCTGATGGGCTTGGCGTGAGGGAGCTGGGCTGGCCTTGGCGCCGTCTGGGCGGTGATTGGGTGTGCGGGCGGGTGGACTTACTTCTCCAGGAAGTCTGTCTGGACTCACCTCTTTTCACTTCTGTGCTCCGGTTCTTGCACTCAGCAGAAATCGACTGCGCTGTGCTATGCCAGACGCCCTTCCTGGTGCTGGAGGCACAGCTGGTAGCACCACACACGAGTTCCTGTCTTTGAGGAGCTTACAGACCGTAACAAAGACAAATACGTGAAAAATGCATAGTGTATCAAGTGGCGATACACTATGGAGAAAAATAAACCTGGAAAGAGAGTTAGAGGTTGAGGGACAGAGTAATTTACAATTTTAATTAGGTAAGGGAGGGTTTCACTGAGAAGGTGGCTGGATTCAAGACCTGAGACGGTCAGGGAGTGAGTCCTGTCCATAAACATGGAGTGGAGGTTGAGGAACCCTCCTGAGGGAAATGAAATGCAAAAACTCTGAGATGGTCTGTGCCTGTTCTGTTAGAAGCCACAGGGAGGCCCTTGTGGCTAGAGCAGAATGAGGGAGAGTAAGAGGAGTTAACTGATGAAGATATGGAGGTGATGGTAGCATACAAAGAAGACTTTGTCACTGTGAGGACATCAGCTTCTCTGAAGGAGATGGGAACCATTCTGGGGGTTTGAGCAAGGGAGTAAGAGTCTGATTTATGAGTTAACGTAAGTCTCACCCTCTGACTGCTGGGTGAGACTAGACTGAAGGAAGCAAGGAGAAAGCAGGAAATCTTGAGAGGGCTAATGGTCAGTAATGCTGGCTTGAATCAGGGCCTAGCAAAGGAGGTGGTGAGGAGTATTTGGATTCTAGATATATCCTGAAGGAAGAACCTAAAGGAACTGTTAATGAAGAGAATATAAGGTATTCGAGAGAGAAAATAAGGATTATGTCTTGCCTTATTGACTCTAGGTGCACAGTATCCAGGTATTCATTATATTACTCTTTCATCATTTCTGTATGTGTGAAAATTTTTAATTAAAAAAGCTGTGGCCCTGGCCGGTTTGGCTCAGCGGTTAGAGCACTGGCCTGTGGTCCTGAGAGACCCGGGTTCGGTTCCCGCTAAGGGCATGTACCTCGGCTGCAGTTTGTCCCCGGCCCTGGTTGGGTCGTGTGGGTGGCAACCACTCGACGTGTCTCTTTCACGTCGATGTTTCTCTCTCTCTCCCTCCCTCCCACTCTATCTGAACAAAAAATGGAAAAAATGTCCTCGGGTGAGAATAAAAAAAAAGAAAAAAAATTTAAAAAATTAAAAAAAAAAAAGCTGTGGACAATAGTCATACCCCTACTCTGTAGCAAGTACTTCAATGCCAAGGTGACCTGACAACAGTCAGTCCTCTTATATAGGCACTCCCAGGCTAGAGGGAAGCCTGAATGGGGAAGATGGACCATGTATGCTGGGGATAGAAAGATGAGTAACAGGCCCTGGCCGGTTTGGCTCAGCAGTTAGAGCGGCGGCCTGCAGTCCATAGAGACCCAGGTTTGATTCCTGCTAAGGGTGCGTACCTCGGTTGCAGTTTATCGCCAGACCCAACCGTACCGGAAGGAGCCACTCAATGTGTCCCTTTCTTGTTGATGTTTCTCTCTCTCCCTCCCTCTCTCCCTCCCACTCTACCTGAACAAAAATGGAAAAATGTCCTCAGGTAAGGATAAAAAAAAAAAAAAGATGAGTAACAGGATCAAGACTGGGATCAGGAAGTAACTGGGCCTGGCTGGTCCAGAAGGCTTGTAGGGCAGTGAAGGCTGGGGTAAGACACAAAAGCCTGTCTACTCTGTACTATAGGCTTTTTCTAGAAAATGGTGGGAAACTATGGAAGAATTTTTTTTTTTTATTAATCTTCATCTGAAGACATTTTTCTATTTTTTGTTCAGATAGAGTGGGAAGGAGAGAGAGAGAGAGAAACATCAATGTGAAAGGTACACATTGAGTGGCTGCCACCCACACAACCCAACCAGGGCCAGGGACAAACTGCAACCGAGGTACATGCCCGTAGTAGGAACTGAACCCAGGTCTCTCTGGACTGCAGGCCAACCCTCTAACCGCTAAACCAAACCGGCCAGGGCTATGGAAGAACTTTGTAAGCACAGTAGTGACATGATCCGATTTGTTTTAGAAAATCTATTTTGAATGTGTAAATTTGTTTTGGGAGAGACTTGAAGCAGGGAGAACAGTTAAGAGAATTACAGCAGTCCAGGCAAGAAGCAGTGAATGCATGAACTGAGGCAGAGGTCATAAAAGGATGGAAAAGAAGATAGAACCCAGACGGGCATTACCAGAAATCTTTCAGCAACTCTGGGTTTCAGACACACTGCAATTGCAGTGCCCAAAGCACATCTGAGGATATACCTGGTTAGTGTCACGTATACAGCTTGGGAACCAGGAGAGAGACAGAAACCAGGTCAAAGACAGAAGCCAGGACGGCTTCAGCATAAAAATGTATATGTACCCGCCCTGGAAAAACTATACCATGGGAGAGGGGCCAGCATTAAAGCAGAGGCTGCTATTAAGAGTTTTAGAGAAAAATGAAGATAAAATGGTACCTTTGAGTCCAGGAGATGAAAGGGTCAAATGCTGGGTCAAGCTAAGGAATTTGAAGTGCTCAATAGATTTAACTAGTATCACTGATGACATATAGAAGAAGCTTACCAGGAGTGTTGACAAGTGATGGATCTAATGCTGAACAGGCAGCAAGAAGGCAGAGGCCCTGAGTGTCAGTTATTGGTTCAAGAAGCTTGGTAGGGAAGGGAAAGGAACAAAGAATTAAAGGAGTGATTAAATGTTAGTGTTTTTGTAAGATGGGACTGAGGCTGAAGGAAACATCAAGAAGGGGGAGAGAAAGCACAGCTGATAAGACAAGGTCCCTGAGCCCTGGCCAGTGTGGCTCAGTTGGTTGAGCGTTATCCCATGCACCTTTAGGTCACTGGTTCGATTCCTAGTCAAGGCACATGCCCCGGGGTTGCAGGCTTAGACCCCAGTAGGGGGCATGCAGGAGGCAGCCAATTGCTGTGATGTTTCTCTCTTTCCCTCTCCCTCTCCAAATCAATAAAACTTACTTTTTAAAAAGACAAGGTCTCTGAGGTGGAGGGGTGGGGTGGTATCTGGTATGTGTGGCCTCACCTGGCAAATGCTTCAAAATGCCCTGGCATCTCCAGGTCTCTGACTCTGAATCTCTGGACTTGAATCCTGGCACAAGTGTTCTTTAAAGCTCTGTGACTGCCCAGCTGGTGTGGCTCTGTGGCTGAGCACCGACCCATGCACCAAGAGGTTACTAGTTTGATTCCCGGTCAGGGCACGTTCCCAGGTTGTGGGCCTGATCCCTCTCTTTCCCTTCCTCTCTCTCTCTCTCTCTAATATCAACAAAAAATAAATAAATACAACTCTGTGACTGAGTTTGAGAGGAAATTATTAAAGAAATTCCAAGATAGAACAAAAAGTGTTCAAGCTAAGCATGGAGACAGCTCACAGTTGTAAAGTAAGACTGTTTAAGAATCAGTCGATGTTTACTAAGATGATTGTTGTTAAATGAACTTGTTAAATGAAATATAAAGTTCTCAAAGGACTTCAGTAGGCCTGAGAAGAGTCTTAGACATTGGTACAAGAAGGGGCTGTTAGGAGAGAGCTCAGGTGCAAAGCAGGTTGTCAGCTCCCAAGGAAGCCTGAGGTTTCCTCCTGACTTCCTACCCCAGTGAACACTGTCATCTTTGTTTTCCACAGATCATGGGGAATTTCCACCATGAGAGCACAGGACTGTGTGAGTGTTCAGGCCACAAGTTTACTGAGGACCTTCAATTTGCATAACTCTTTGCTCATCATTGGATTGACCTCAACAGTTTTATTGGATAGAAGGTCTAATTGTCAAGATTTATTAATAGCACCTCGTTTCTCTTGTTTATAGCTTAGGACTTTCTGGCTGCAGAAGAGGAGCTAATTATTTATTTTTAATTTTTTTTTTTTACTCCTTACCCGGTTTCCGTTTATTTTCAGATAGAGTGGGAGGGAGGGGTAGAGAGAGAGAAAAAAAGAGAGAAAACCAATGTGAGAGAAACACATCAATTGGTTGCCTCCCATACTACCCTGACCAGGGCCGGTGACTGAACAGCAACTGAGGTACGTGCCCTTGACAGAACTGAACCCACAATTCTTTGGTCCATGGTTCAACGCTCTAACTGCTCAGCCAAACAAGCCAGGGCTGAGAAGAGAAGGAGCTAATTTAGAGTCAATCTGTACTCAGAGCAACTTCAGGAAGAGGTGGTGTTTGATATAGAACTTCTTGTAAACCTGGGTACCTCTATGACAGACCTCAACATGGACTCTACTCAAGCCCAGCAGGGTCTAGTAAATTTTTTTAAATTTTGTTTATTGATTTCAGAGAGAGAGGAAGTGAGAGGGAGAGATATAAAAAACATCGATGAGCCCTGGCCAGTTTGGCTCAGCGGTTAGAGTGTCGGCCTGCGGTCCAGAGAGACCCGGGTTCGGTTCCCGCTAAGGGCACGTACTTCAGTTGCAGTTTGTCCCCGGCCCTGGTTGGTCGTGCGGGTGGCAGCCACTCGATGTGTCCCTTCACGTCGATGTTTCTCTCTCTCTCTCTCCCTTCCTCTCTCTCCCTCCCACTCTATCTGTACAAAAAAAAAAAAAAAACATCGATGAGAGATAACATGCCTCCTGCATGCCTCCTACAGATCAGGCCCACAACCTGGGCATGTGCCCAGACCAGGAATTGAACCCATGACCTCTTGGTGCATGAGTCGATGCTCAACCACTGAGCTACACTGGCAAGGTGGT